GAGCTCGCTGGTGCTCTGCTCCCCTGCCACTGAGCCACACCCTGCCTTCCTCTTCTCTGTTTTTGCCCCTAGAAGCTGATTCCTTCCAATTGGCTTCTGTTTGGGCCAGTGGAAGGTAAAAGCAGAGGATCGGAGAGAAGAGGAGAGAGAAGTTGGGGTATTTCTTCCTGCTCTGTCCCTTCAGTGCAGGTGGTATGAAGTAATGACCCTCAAAAACCTCTGGCAGTAGCTTCCCCTTTTCAGGATTGTAGCTCCTGCTCTGCAGCCTTTCCTGCTCTCTTGGGCTCCAGCTGTCATGTCAGTAACATTCTCCCCCCTTTGTATCTCCTGCTTTGGGAAGGCTGGGCTGGTGGGGGGGGGGAGGGGTGGTGGTAGTGCCGGTTTCTAGGTTATTCGCATCTTGTGTTCATGTTGATTCCCCTGACCCTGCCAACACCTCTGTAGGTTGTCCCTTCATTAAAAATCTCTCCATTTGAACTGAGTTTAATTCTGTTTCCTCCTGGGATCTCAATGATACACTGTACCAGAACGAAACCTTGCTTCACCTTCAGAACCAACAGATTTGATACATTTTATCCTCCTATAGAACCATTAGTTTTTGAATTATTGGTTGTATCATAGAAAATCACTATGTTAAACCACAAATTATTACAACATCAGATTAGATACGTGATATTATCAAAGTTGTTATATTTCAAACAAAAGAATTCATATTGTTTTAAAAATTAAATTTAATGTAATTATGCTGTTTTCTGAATATTGAAGTAAAAATATTAAAAGAAATACTCCTTAAAGTGGCAAATGCTAAATCTCCAAAAAATAATCCTATCCAGCTGCAATACAAGAATGTGTTAATATCTTGAGGAAAAAAATAGTATTATTTTGTGAACTTATAAAGCTATTTTGAGTTTTTAAAATATGAAAACCTTAGGGATGCCTGGATGGCTCACTCAGTTAAGCATTGGACTTGGGTTCAGGTCGTGGTCTTATGGTTTGTGAGTTCAAGCCCCACATCAGGCTCTGCTGATGGCTCAGAGCCTGGAGCCTACTTTGGGTTCTGTGTCTCCCTCTTCTCTCTACCCCTCCCCCAACTCATGCACTCTCTATCTCAAAAATAAATATTTAAAAAAAATTATAAGGTGAAACCTTACTAAAATGTGTTTTATTATTGGGAAAGTATGACAATTACTGCTATTTGTTTTTTAAGCTTATAAACTTTTATCTGTGCATATTCTCAACAAATAAGGATTTTACTGTTATTGTATAAAATTGGTGCTATTTTAGATTTTAAAATACCAGATTGAAACCAAACCACAATAATGTGTATTTCAATGTATAGGTACTAATGAGGGAATCCTTTTTTAGCCCCTTAAATTTTTTTTTTAATTTTTTAATGTTTATTTTTGAGATAGAAAGAGAGCACAAACTGGGGAGGGACAGAGAGAGAGAGAGAGAGGGACAGAGGATCCAAAGCAGGCTCCACACTGACAGCAGTGAGCCCAATGCAGGACTTGAACTCACAAACCATGAGATCATGACCTGAGCCAAGGTCACATGCTCAACTGACTGAGCCAGCTAGGTGCCCCTTTAAAAAAAATTTTTTTAAGATTTTATTTTTTTAAATAATCTCTAGGCATAGTGTGGGGCTTGAACTCACAACCGCAAGATCAAGAGTCACATACAGTACCAACTGAGCCAGCCAGGTGTACCTGAGTCCATTTAATTTAATTATCCATTTCACACCTACGCCCAGTATTTTTTGTGATCCTTACGTAAGCAGTATAAAGGCTACCTAGGAAACATAAAGCAATTAGAAAGTAACTTTTGGCAAGTAAACGACCCATAAGTGGCAACAAAAGTTAGAATAAATTTAATGAAAATATCCATTAAATCTTAGTGTTTACTGGTCCAGAAGAAAGGCTGGTTGGATTCCTATTTCATCTGGTTGTTGCAGCCACATACTATATACTGTAACTGTTTTTAAATAACTATAGATGTACTGAAACCTATCTATGGTCTTGTTATTATAAAATTTCAGGAATAGTCCATCATTACTTATTATGAAATTGATCCCAATATTTAATGCACCAACAATATCAAGATGACAGGGTATATTGCAGTGAGACCACTATGGCCGTTTTAGATAAATAAATATCAGAATTTGGGGTCTTTAACCTAGAGTGTCTTTTTTTTTTTAATTGTTTTCTTATTTTTATTTTTTTAGTTTATTTATTTTTGAGAGAGAGAGAGAGAGAGAGAGCAGAAGAGGGGCTAGAGAGATTTCCAAGCAGGCTCTGTGCTGACAGCACAGAGCCTGTCGCAGGGCTCGAACCCATAAACTGAGAGATCATGACTTGAGCCGAAATCAAGAATCGGATGTTTAACTGACCGAGCCACCCAGGCACCCTTAATTTTTGTTGATGTTTATTTATTTTTGAGATAGAAAGACAGAGCATGAGCAGGGGAGGAAGGGAGGAAGGGAGGGAGGGAGGGAGGGAGAGAGAGAGAGAGAGAGAAACACAGAATCCAAAGCAGGCTCCCGGCTCTGAGCTGTCAGCACAGAGCCTTATGCGGGGCTTGAACTCACAGACCATGAGATCATGACCTGAGTGAAAGTTGGACGTTTAACTGACTGAGCCACTCAGGCACCCTGGAGTGTCTTTTTGTCTTAACTGAGATATAATTGACATATAACATTATATTAGTTTCAGGTATACAATGTAATTATTCAATATTTGTACATATTGAGAAATCACCAGAATGAGTCTAGTTAACATCCATCATTGCACATGGTTATAATTTTTTTCTTGTGATGAGAACTTTTAAGATATACTTTCTTAGCAACTTTCAAATACACGATACAATATTATTAGCTACAGTCACCATGCTATACATTGTATCCCTAGCGCTTATTTACTTTGTAACTGGAAGTTTGTACTTTTTGACTCCCTTCTCCCATTGTGCCCACACCCTGGAGTGTCTTTCTTTCTTTCTTTCTTTCTTTCTTTCTTTCTTTCTTTCTTTCTTT